TATTATTTGTTGAGTATGTTTCTACCATTATGACCTGTATCATAACAATTTATATCATTTTCTTTATTTACATCCGTATGTTTGATGATTTCTGTTCATTAGGGGATGTAAAACAGGCGCGAGCAGTTTTCAGGTGCATGTCAAATGCTTATCATTAATATGAAGAAGAAGCTTTCTAAGATGACGTTCGTTTATTCTCTCTTATAAAAATGTCACTACCAATTCTTACTCGTAATCGTATTGAATAAAATATGAGTAAATCTGAAGACATTAGTTATTTGTGTTATAAGAACACATTATCCTTTTACGATATTAATATTCAACTGTCTCATTTCCCACCATTCGTTATTCGTTCAAGGTCGGTTACACACTTTTAAAATAGGCAATTAGACTTTTTTTCGACAACCATTTTGGAGTAAAGAACTGGAAACGCCTGGAAGTGCTACGCCTATCTGCTTGACTCCATATTTTTCATGGGATCAATAAGCATGGATCTTAATTGATTTATAGAAATAAGACAACGCAACGCGCCATCTATTGCCAGAATCAACAACTGCTAACAGTGTGTAGCCACTTCCGGTTGGAACTGTGAAGATTTTGGTCTGTAATGGTAGCGCAGAGTCACTAAATACTAAATATACTGTTGTTCTCCGTTCGACCAAAGTCACCATACTGTTGCAAATTGAAATCTTCACAGTACCCCACCGGTAGTGGCTACACACTGTTAATAGAAGGCGATTTGTGTTGTCTTATATCAATAGACACGACCTCTTGGATAGAGGATAGTTGCTATGCTTTCGTTCATTGTCCAGAGACGATTAACCAAGCCTAGACCATGTTGATGAGTATCGAAAAAGCAAGAAACAACTGGGTGGAAGCGGTATATTTAATTGACTTATTGTTTCAGTGAAAAGTGTGTGCAGTATTTGGACATCTACATAACGAGCATATGGTTGGAACTATGGGAATTCCGATAAGGACCATTTTGGATTTGGAGTACCCGACAATCGAGCTACCATGGATAGTCTGAGAATACAGCTTTGAATCATTAGAGAAAAACATATGGACTTATATTTGCTAAAGTTATAAAAATTTGGTTGTGCAAAATTTAATCGATATAAATTCAGAGCAAGCGTGATTTGGTGTTTGGGGCCGTTCAAGTATTACGTGAGCTCTATGGGGGGGCGGGGTTAATCTTTGCTTTGCTTATTTTGGATGACATGGGGGGTACGGGAGTCTAGATGATGATTACGTCATCGACAGTTATTTACTTTTTTACACGAATGGCAACCCTCACATTGTCTTTGCTTGAAAACGAAACGCATTTTCGGGGATTCCCGCAAATAATGCATACGTTTAGTGAACAGAGCGCCGTAATTCCCCTACTCGCTTTAGAACCGAGTAGGGGAATTACCGCGCGGTGTTCACTTGTCTAAATTTCCTCTATCAGTGTACTGTTTCATTTGGATACTATAGCTAGTAGACGTATTGTAAGCATAGTAAAGCAAGTTAACATTTGTGTTACCACTGATTCCATTAGCCAAAGTTTAATGTTTAAATAAGATGTCGTTTCACATAGACAAATCCAAGTTATACCAAAAATTGTTCGAAAGTTTTAAAAAATCTCATACAAGTACGAAAGTACAAAATGTACAAAACTTGGTTAACGAAGTGTGGCGAAATTACAAATTACAAGCAAAACTCCGACAAGGAACTAGATATTATTGTATCTAAGAGAATCGAAGAAGAATTGTAAGTGGCGACTAAGAATAAATCCAGTCTACTAAATTTTTTTTCTAAGGTGAATGACAAAATCATTTTAGGTACCTATGAGTACAAGAAATATTAGAAATCGCCAAAAAGCTTCTCTTTACTGATTAGAAAATATTATGGCCTATCTCAAAGTATAGAGGTAATATTCATTATATTATAGATTCATTTCTTATGATTGATTCCGTCAATTGGTCACAAAGTACAGGATGTTAGTTTTATACATATATACAGAAAACTAACACCCTGTATTTTGTGACCGGAACGAATTGCTCGTTTAAACATATACTAAGTGACATATAAATCCGAACACCCAGTTTAAATGGTTTTATTTTAATAAAAGTTTGTATAAGTACTTAATGAAGCATAATAAGTAAATGATAAAAATTTCAAAATGATTGCACTGCTTTAAAGCCCTTTGACCTTTAATAATGTGTGGATGCACCCTGATGTGCTACGCATTCTCCAACGCGCCTAGGCATGCTTTTGATCAGGTGGTCAATGTCCTCCTGTGATATCTCATTCCAGGCAACCACCAACTCCTCTCGAAGTGCTTCTAGAGTCTGAGGAGGACGTTGCAAATTGAGCAATCTCCTACCCATCATATCCCACACGTGCTCAATTGGGGATAAGTCGGGAGATCTTGGTGGCCATGGTAACAATGTGACATCATTATGTTGAAAGAAGTCTATTGTGACTCTTGCAACATGTGGTCGGGCATTATCTTGTTGGAAAGTTGGATCTGCCAGGGTGTCAAGAAGGGGTAAAAGATGGGGTTCTAGAAATTCGTGGATATAACGCTGCACGTTCATGTTACCTATGATGAAGATTAAAGGTGACCTGGAACCATAAGCTATAGCACCCCAAACCATAACTCCAACAGTGTGATGAACATGTCTTTCAACAAAAAACTGTGGATTGCTCCTTTCACCACGTCGCCTTCTAACCCTGGCACGACCATCGTGCATGCCTAAACAAAATCGAGACTCGTCACTAAAGACAATACTGTTCCATTCCTGATCCCAGAGTGACCGTTGCCTGCACCACTCAAGGCGATTACGTCGGTGTTCTCGAGTTAAAGGGAGGACCCAGTGTGGCCGGTATGAAAACAAGCCAAAACTTCTCATTCGTCGGTAAACACTTCGCATGTCAATAGGTCTTCCGTATTCTGCAAACCATTCATTTGCAATGGACCTGGTAGTGGAGAAACGGTCCCTTAAGGCCAATAATCTTAGGCGGCGATCTTCACGGTCTGTTGTTCTACGGCGGCGTCCAGTGCCCCTTGCTCTATGCGTACGGCCTTCTCGAAGCCATGCCTGACAACACCTAACCACAGTGTCTACACTTCTTTGCACTCTAACTGCAATTGCCCGAAAAGAAAGTCCCACTATACGGCCCCTATCAAACTCACTAAGTTGACGAAATCGTACAGGTCTCCGTACTGTAGGCATCGTAACCGATCGTAAAGGAAGTCAAGAACCAAAATCCGCCAACGTTGATTCTTTACTGCGGCTGAAATATTCATTTTTAGAGCGTTAGTGAATTAATAAAAAGCCGTATAAAAACCGGAATGTCCAACTGATAGGGCTGAAAATTTTTTCACATGTTATTTACAGTAAGATAAATACATTCACCAACTTTTATTAAAATAAAACCATTTAAACTGGGTGTTCGGTTTTATATGTCACTTAGTATATAATAATTAGAATTTGGAAATAATGCTTTGATGTTTTAAAATGATGATACATTGAATTTAATTTAATAGTAGTAGCAAAAGAGGAGCGGCGCAAGGGGTATAAACAAAAATGGTGTAGCACGTGTTTAGCCGAAAAGACGCTATCGTTCTACCCCCCCCCCCCATTTTTAGTGTCAGGGCAGCGTTGCCGTGTTTCTCCTTCGCTGGTTCGCCTTGACACTCGATTCACCGCGTGCGCCCCATTTCCCCCAGAATTACCTCCCCTTTTCAATCCCTTTTGGCATCAAGCCACAGACTTAAAGTAAATTCCAATGCGCTGCTGCCAGGACGTCTCTTTTGCGCCAGACTATGTTTTTTTTATCGAAAACCGTTGGACTAATTGGTGTTTCGCTACGCACGTTTTATCTTTGAATCTCCTATCTGTAGTTGTGATTGAACCATGTGCCTAAATGCCTTCTAGATCGACTATTACCTTAAACGATTTTGATTATGTAACAGTTTATTTAATTGCATATCCTTATTTTGATCAATAAAAATAGAGGAATCGACAAATGATTTTACTGAATGAAAGAATGGTTTGGCAACGTGCGTATTGTGCGAAGGGTGTTTACGATCAGTGTTGTCAGTAGTTTCACTGAATTTTCAGTAGATCTACTGATTTGTATATTGATCTACTGATCTACTGAAATATTTTTGTAAGCTAGTGAAAAAATTATGATGCCTAATTAATGTTATTATTATTGTTAATTTTTAATTCATAACCTAGACCTTGCGTAATATTGTCGAAGAATCAGTTTAAATACGGTCATCAATGATGACCCTAAATAAATTCGAAAGCGTCTTAGCGCTTGATATTATGTTGGTAATGCTTTACAGCCCAGACTACTGATGTAAATATTCGGAATATTCTGCTAATCGGTTAGACGGAAACGGATGAATAGAATATTCGGATGAATCATCCGTAATAATAATACGAATCATGGCATCATCCATAACAGCAGTGGTTTTATGCGACCTGGCAACACTGGACCAGATCACGGCCAAGGGGAATCACCGGTTATTAATGCGTAAACGACTACGGGGACCGGGATTTCCCAGCTCTGCGCGACAACGCGAGGGTTTTGGTTTTTTCTTCGATTTCACCTTCACAATTCGGTTTGATCTCGTATCCAGTGGTACGTACAAAAAAGAGGTGAGTTCACTTTTATTAGTTAATATTGAATTCTAAAGATGTAATGTATTATTTTTTTAGTTCAAATGAGTACCATAACTCTGAAAATGAAGGGGCTGGTTCCTTAAAGAAAAAAAAATAAATATAATCAAGTATTTAAGAAAAGCTGGACCGAAGAGGAGCAATTTACAAAGTGGATTAAACAGGGAAAAGATGAATACTTTGCTATGTGCCGCGTGTGCAATAAAGATATTATTATTATTTCCTAAAATTTGCATAAAATATATATCTACTGAAATCTACTGAATTTTTGGCAACCCATTTACTGATGCAATGAATATCGAACTGGCAACACTGTTTGCGATGTTGGCGGATATTCGGGTGGGGGTGTGTGCGGGTGCTGGTGCCGCAGTTCGCGGGGTGAGCTCGGGGGTGTGTGAAGCGACGCTGCCGCCGACGCCGGCGTCTCTCACTGGTGGTGTGTCGTCGTCGAGCGTCGCGATCGATCCTGCTTTCGGCCGCTGGCGCTGCACCCGCCAACAACAACGCCGCTTGTCCAGCCAAGCCCGACACTCCTTCGAACGGGATCGTACATCCTGTGTGCATTTTGTGAACACCTACTGCCAGCAGGTGTACTTCCCAGCATTACTTGAATAATACAGGCTCCCGCATCTCGGACGTTTCGGTTTGTGCGAGTCGGCGGCGCGACGCACGATCGCGGCAGCGGCTGCGACGACGCCGACGGCCAATCTCAACAAACACATCGCGAGGTACGCTCAGAATCTACATATAATTCTGCTTTTGTTGCTGAAACCTTTTACTCGCTTTCATTTATATACAATACATGCACACACTAGCATCTTTTATCATCATTCACTCTTTGATATTCCTTTATACTTGATCATTTAGTAAATTAATTATACAGGATGGCGCATCGAAAACGAAACAGACTCATTTACTGGCAGCTCAGTTTTTTTTTTGGAAAAACGCTCGGACCCGTCGATTTTGTTTTCGAGGGAGACACAAGTTTGGCAAAAAATCACGCTGGCACGTGCAGTCCCCTAAGCAGGGTGACACCACCCCCAAAATCTTAACTGGAAAGGGGGGTCGAGTGATACCTTATTTTAAAGGTCTTGCAATTCCCTTTATAATGATATAAAATTAATGTACTTCAGTTCAGTACTTTTGAAGATTTATTGATTTAAAGCTTTCAAACAAACACATACATTTACCTTCTTTATTATACAAGTTAATTATTATAACATATTATTATTGAAAGTTCTACGATTTTTTAGCCTCCAGGTTGTGTATTTTTAGATAAATTACTAGAATCATATCTGAACTTTCCTCACTCACCGAAAAGTCAATACGCGTATTTATATGAAATAAAGAAGCCTTATGAGGCATTCAGGAAATTGCTGAATCCTGTAGTTGAGTTTATTTCCTGATTATTTGTATCATTATTCCTCCATTTCTTGGTGGCAAACTGAGATTAATTTCCGCGTTAGCAGTCAAATGTCGAAGTACCCGATTGATTTTTTTAACGTTCCAATTAACTGCCAATTATGTATATTCTACGTTTGATGAAACTAAATGTCTAGGTATATGGTAAACATCGATTCGACGCTAGCTGGCGGTGTTTATCGAACAAGCCGTCACAGAATCAGGATGTCAATTTAAAACCGGACGAAGAGAGTGATTTTTATTTCATATTTGTTAACACGACGAAAGCCAACTCCATAATTAAAATATGTACAAATAAACAAAAAAAAAATATGTATAAAAATGAATCATATCATTTTTATACATATTTTTTTTTGCGATATTTTTAACTGTTTCAAAAATATTGGTTTTGGATTCGTTCAAAAGCAATACACATAGACAAATGAAACATAATCGATGAGCTATTTGTTACTAAGCATTTTCTCTTTCAATGTCTTTTTCAGCTATGGAAGAAGTTTTACCAGAAGGCAAACACTTTCGATTGGTAAACGAATCAGAGCTTCCAGAAATCATTGATTTTCTCGGTAACTATTTACCGGATTCCATCAAGGTATGTCACTACATACTATTGGCATAACTATCGAAAACCGTTAGTCATATGCATATTATAGTTTTCTATTCTCCTGATTACGTTCATACACATATCTAGGTATCGTTTGGATAAAATACAAAGGCATCGATATAAATGTCATCCCGTAATGTCAAATCCATTATTTGTTATACTCGTACAACCATACGTAGAGATGTAAAAACATTTATTTTTAAATGACACAAGATCCATAAGAGAATATCGATTTAACGATATTTAATGGCGGTTATTGAGATAGTGGACGATGTTAGTAATATAATTATTATTGTTTTAGTTCCATCAAACATTGAAGACGTTTTTGAAAGACAGGGTGTGGGAATTTTATTTCTACGTCACTAAAACGTGGCCGGAGCAAGCTGTGATACTACACTTCCCTGGAATGACAAAAACGGTAAGCTAACTTGTTTACACTTATAACCGTTTTGCCAAGTTGAGTTCTTCACAAATATAGATCCGCTTTACCGGACTCCCGAGTAGAAGGCTGCCCGCTACGAATTGCTATCACGTGATCGCTCGCACACTTTTATACATGACAGATGATGGGTAATGCTCCAATCGGGACACCGTTCAGAATACGCCTCCGGTTGATAGTACACTTCGCCCTCTATGATTCTGCGACGTCAGCCACGAACTATCAAGAACTTCAGTTTCGTTCACATCGCTTTATTTAAGTGAAATTAAGAATGGAAAAAATACATTATCGCTGGCCGTTTCATGTTTGCCTACATTTTCCAAGCATCTGTGATCAAAGGTCAAGGCCGGCACGCCTCGAACTGAGGTTCACGTTCACTCGCCTATATAGCAGTTTTCCATATTGTGCAACACACACCAAATTCACACATTGAGAAAAGAAATCAATATTACCATACCGTGAAAAAATATACGTATAGTTACAATCAAATTGAAAGGGTGCAGTAATACATCTGAATGAAGAAGTCTATGTCGTTTACCATCATATCGAAAAGCAAATGTGAATAAGAAAGTCAATGTAAAATAAGACGAGATTTTTCATTTTCGTTAATCCATATTGGTTAAATTCTATTATTTGAACTAAGGGACCGTTCAAGTATTACGTAAGCAGATTTATTAGAATTATTTACCCCCCCCCATCCCCCTTGTCAGCAAAAGTAAACAAAGCTTTTACCCCCTCCCCCCATGCAACATTTGTCCATTAATGTATTGTTTTTTAATATTATAATATAATTTTTGGTATAACTTGGATTTGTCTATGTGCATTGGTAGCTAAAAATAATAGATCATGTCGCTTAAAGTGTTGTATAGCAAACCCTATGACTTTTTGATAACGTGGATTTTCATCTACTCCTACTCGGTTCTAAAGCGAGCAGGGGAATTACCGCGCGCTGTTCACTAAACGTATGCATTATTTTCGGGAATCCACGAAAACGCGTTTCGTTTTCAAGCAAAGACAATGTCAGGGTTGCCATTCGTTTAAAAAAGTAAATAACTACCGATGGCGTAATCATCATCTAGACTCCCCTACCCCCCATGTCATCCAAAATGAGCAAAGCAAAGACAAATACTTGAACGGCCCCTAATCGCAGTGGTGTGTATTTCTCAACTATCATTTACTATGCGCGATGAACTCCGGAAAGTCTTATGGACAGGAAATAATTCCAAATTACGGAAATGTATTGAAATGTGTGTACATGTGCGTGTGTGTATGAATCTAAAATGGCGCCATTCGAAACGTGCGGCAATTGTTTGTCTCTCGATACGACCGGGTTCTATTGTACGTTTGTAGATTTTCCTTTCGTAAACTCGTATGCTGCACAAAAAAAGCAGTACCTGGAAAATCCAACTTTGACCACGCTCAGATTTTATGTTGCAGTGAACATTTTATACCTTATCGAATATCTACTTTTTGTTGTATAAATTAGTATTCCCAATATTGCTAAGTGTAAGTCAATGGTGTGTATTTTTGTTTGACAGCCTAACAATAAACTGTACGAGAGCTTCAGCGTGTTTTGCCCTTGCGATCAGCTAGACAACATGTACCTGTTGTTAGAGGAGGAGGTGCTAATCGACTGGACGCAGCCAATTTTCCTAAACTTCACGCATTCGCAGATTGTGGAAAAACTGGAGGAAATGTATAATGAGAGAGGAGGGATAATGGAAAAGCTGTACGGCGATATTTATGGCCTAATGAAACCTGAACAAGGGTTAACCGCCGAGGAAGATGTCGCTGCCGACACCAGGTAAGTCGGTCCATTTATATGTACAACAATCGTAAAAAGGAAATGCCGGAACCTGACGACTGTCCGACCATATGAAATTAGACGCGTCACCGACGCTCATCGTCCCGAAATCGCACAAACATAATATATGCGTAATTATACATTGCCAAAGAGCAAAGTAGCCCTGCTGCAGCAGCAGTAGCAACATCTGCGAGTGTGGAACTGTAGGAACAAATTTCGGGATTCGCACCGCGATTTCAGGCCGTGATCCGCGCGTGAGTCTGGAGAGGGTATTATGCCGTTACCTTCGAGAGTACAAGGCCAAACAACTGGGCTCTGAAAAGCCTGTGACGTCACGCAAAGTAGGCCTATGCATGTTCTTATGGAGTTTCGCGATGCCTGGCTGGCAAGAGTACCGCGCCACCATTTCTCTGCGGTGTTGTCATATCTAGGTTTGATATAGCAGTATCGAAATCTCGACTAATTAGTTGTACCTCTCTGTAGGCGAATTTGCAAGATGTACTCGGGGCCTGTGCAGCTTCAGTGATGATGTGATTATTCTTTCTGATCTGCCTCAGTATATCAAGAATACATTTTCGATATTACGTTCAATCCGTCACTTGTGAAGTCTAATATTCCAATCAAAATTGGAATATGTGGCAACCTTGGTAACATCCGACAGCTGTCCAACAGACAACTAACCTCACATTCTCAAAATTATTGATGTTTTAAACTTATATTTATGTCTCGCGATTGTTTAGCTAAGTTTTCAAAATGCCTTACAAGTGGTACGTTCCTAATTGTGCCGGTAATTACGGGAAGGGTCCGAAAGTACACGTATTTTCGATTCCATTGAATGAAAACTGTCGTAAAAGATGGCTCAATTTGCACGTTGCTGAGGACAGGATCACTTGGGAATCCACCTTCCATGAGAAATGACAGGTAGGACCATTACTGTACCCCTTAAGTATCCAAAACTAAAGGCAGATGTAACTCCAAGTATCTTTGCAAATTGTCCAAAATACCTTTCAAACGACATATCAAGCAGAAGAAGCCGAGATGAGAAATTGAGGGACAAGGAACAAGAACAACTACTTAAAGCACTGCAAAGTAGCATTGATGATTATTCTTCTTATCAAAAACAAGTTTTCAAAATTATTCAGACTTTCTTACAGTTTTCAGTTCATGGCAATGTCCATACGGACAAAACTTATTATTGGATTAGAAGAACTTAGTTATAAAATTTTCTGTGTTGTATTTGATAATAATGCACTGAATGGTAAAGCGATGGCACATTTTTCTCCAGATAATAAAACAAGCATTGTTTATCCGCATCCGTTGGATAAAAAACGTCCCCTATTCTTCCTTTTTGATACAATGCATCTTCTAAAATGTATCCGCAATAATTGGCTGAATTCAAAACCAGACCAAATTTTAACATACCTAGATTTTGAAACACATGAGGTAAATGTTGCTTCATTTAAATCTCTTAAAACATTGACCAAATGGAAAGTCATAAAATATTGAAAAATGGTTATGATTTCACCCTGAAAGCTTTATATCCCACCAACCTTGAAAGACAAAATGTTCATTTAGCTCTCAAGATATTCAACCCATTTGTAATAGATGCAGTATCAAGGTAAAAACATACAGCACTCCGAAGAGATAGCAAAATTCATTGATATTATATGGAAGTGGAGGAGAATTGTCAATGTAAAACGTCCATTGAAAGGAAAGCGATTAAATGACCTTTATGCAGAGCCTATTGTTTGCTCCAACAGTGATGGACAAGGTGATGACACTAAGCTGACATTCTTGCAAAACATGCTAGATTGGCTAGAAGAGTGGAATTATCCAGCAAAATTTTCAAAAAGACCAATTAGTCAGACTTACACTGCACTACATCATACAGTATATATGGCTTATTGGAATTAGTAAGGTACTGTAAATCTGAACTGCACAGTAATTATATATTGTTAGGTAAATTTCAAACTGACTCATTGGAAAATAGATTTGGTAAGTATCGTCAACTGGCAGTGGGTCAATATAATATATCAATTCGTCAGTTATATGCATCTGAGAAAAAGTTACGAACTCAAAGCCTGATATCATTGAAGTCTCGCTATGGTGATATACAAATAAATAAATTCCGTGAAAATGATGATTTAGAAATAGATGAAATTCTATACAATTTTAATGATTACCACTTTTTTCGGGAAATTGAAAATTTACAGTCAGATATTGATAGTATAAAGAAAGAAATCCCTGTCATCACCTACTTAGCTGGTTACTGTTGTTATGCCTTATTAAAGAAAAATCACTGCGATCATTGTAAGGAAAATTTGACACACAGATGACATTGTCATATGAGACGTTATAAATTTAATTGCTATTTGCACAGTCAATACATTTTGAAAAATTATTGTGCCAAAAGGAACGACAGCTTTGCAAGCGCGAATAAAGCAAAGAAACGTAAATTGACTACATTCACATGAGGCCGCAACCTTTACATAGCTGTAGATAAATGTTTATTTGTACATATTCAGAATTTAGTACTTTAATTTTCGTTATTCTAATTTTTGTTGTTTTTGATACCTGTTTTCTGTTTTCTAATTTTTGTTATTATTTTGTGCTGTATTTTGTTTGTTCTAAAAGTTTTATTAAGGTTTCATTAATATTTGATATGTTGTTTCTGTTGTTTATTTTACTTTGATTTTATCTGTTTTTATTATCATTTATCCTACACTGTTTCCTCCTCATCTTTCTTATTCCTTTTCTGGCTAGAGGTTACCTCATACCTCTTCGTTGGTTCGTGCTGGACACAACTGTTCGACAAGCACTACAGTTTTTATATAATTTTCAAGCACCATTATATTATGCCTATAATAATAGTAAATTGTCCACATATTCCTGTGAAATTTTGTTGATCTGTTGTGACTAACATATCTTCATTGAAGACTTTATCATTTTTAGCAACCTTTTATGTACTTTAATATTTTCCACCAAGTTCATATACCAAAAACACTTTTCTGAATTATCCGTTATTTACATCAGGTAGACTATATTAAATATGCTGCAATAATAATATAGTATATTATTCACTAGCGCCGATGTACGGCACGCAGTGCTGTCGGCCGGCCGACCGGCCTACTCGTGGTGACGTCACGAGTCTGTTGTCAGGCCTTGTACTCTCGGTGGTAACGGTAGAGCGCTGTCTAGATATTTTTTTCTCTACATTACATGTAGTATGTACGAGGTCTATAAATTAAGTAATGAGACTCGGAGCGTTCCATCTGGCACACTGGATGCGCCGGGATTGGCAAGGAGACCAAAGGAACATCCGCTTTCAGTACAAGTTTGAACTCGCTCGAGTCATTTGGATATCCGTAGTGATTTTAATGTAAGACAATTTTTTCTATCGTATTCTAAGAATAAGTGACATCAATTTCAAGCAACGGTGTGCTATCCAGTTTTACTTCAGACTTGGGCACAGTGCAACGGAAATTCTTGCAGACCCACCGAGATATGTATTGTCAAGAGCCAGTTTTTTCGAGGGTTTAAGGCATTGCTGAGAAGGGAGGTAGTCGTTTGACGATGAACCACGAAGCGGAAGGCCTTCTTCTTCAAGAACAGATGAGAATATCGACATAATCCGTGATGTTGTGCGTTCGAATCGTCGATTGCCAGTCTGAATGATTGGAGAAGAGTTAAATATGACTGACACACAACTATGGGTGTTGCATCATTGCTCATTGCCACACAGCAATGCAAATAAACGAGTTTCTGGACAGTAAAACCATTCACGTGGCTCCTCGGCCTCCTTATTCGGCTGATTTGAGTCCTGGTGACTTTTTTCTTCCCGAAGTTGAAAAATCACCACAAAGGAACTTGTTTTGGGACAGTCGAAAACATTCAAACGCCTGTAACCGGT